TGACATTACATAGTATGTATTACGTTATGTAGTATGTTTTACATCTACTTTCTTTTGTACATCATATTTGTAATATTATCAGTGCTGCTGCAGATATGTAAGCACTGAGATTACAGCCATGAGCCAACGTGCTCAGCCTAAAATATTTTAGGAGGCTAAGGTGGGAGGAACACTTGTGGCTGGGAATTTTAGACTTGTCTGGGCAATATAGTGAGACCCTCTCTCTACAAAAAAATTAAAAATTAGCCAGGCATGGTGGCATGTGCCTTTCTTTCCAGCTGCTCAGAAGGCTGAGGCATGAGTTCAAAGTTGCAGGGGGTGACAGTTGTACTCATGCACTCCAGTCGGGGTAACAGAGTGAGATTCTGTCTCTTAAAAAATAATGAAAAAATGTAAAAGAATTTTATATATTATGTTAAAATACACATAAAATTTATTTTAATCATATTAAAGGTTTTATTTGAGATGAATTAAGTACACTCATTATTTTGCTACCATCATTTCCATATATAAAAAGCATTTTCCATGTTTTGAAACTGAAACTGTACCCGTTAAACAACACCTCCTTGTTATGCTCCCTCTGGCCCCTGGGGAACATTCCCCTATATGTTTCTATGGATTTAACTACTCTTAAGTACCACACATGAGAGGAATCACATAGTAATCATAAGAATGATAAAAACTGTATAACATGCTTATTAATTTTGAATAAAAACACAGATCAGTAATACACGGTGATTATAAATAAACAGATACATGAGGAAAAGGAATAGGCAGTGTGCATTATATTTATGACGATGGGGCCTCAAGTACCATAGCAGTGAATTTTCTGCCCCAGTCACAGGGCTGGCCAGTGGTGGAGCTGGGAGCCCATGCCTAGCCCAAATGTCACTGAGCCCTAAGGCACTTTGCTCGTGTTTGTCCGGGCACTGAGTGTCCCCTAAGGTTCATCATGGCATGTTCTCCATGGCCTTGAGGGTGGTGTTGCTGACCTGCTTGGATAAGAGATCCAGCTGGCAGGACAGGTTGTAGCTCCAGGACAGAGAGGCACACGTGAGGCTAGTAGAAGCCACACCCCAGGTCTCCTTCCCAGGGCCTCCCCAGCCGGAGTGCTGGGCCCCAGGGGTCACCATGCAGCAGGGTCTAACACTGATCAGGGAGCCATGGCCACAGGCTTTTGGCAGCTGGCCCAGAATAAAATATTCTCCATGCCCTCTGCCAATCTGCTAGACCAGGCGTCCCCAGACTTTTTACACAGGGGGCCAGTTCACTGTCCCGCAGACCGTTGGAGGGCCGCCACATACTGTGCTCCTCTCACTGACCACCAATGGAAGAGGTGCCCCTTCCTGAAGTGCGGCGGGGGGCCGGATAAATGGCCTCGGGACCGCATGCAGCCTGAGGGCCGTAGTTTGGGGATGCCTGTGCTAGACCCTCACCTCTCAGTCTCACTGAGCCACTCCATTAAGTGGAAGCAGACCCAAAATTGCTCCACAGGCCAAAGGTGGTCATTGTTGACAGCCAGCCAGAGCAGCTGCATCTCCTGGAGCACTTTGATCTCCTGCAGCTAAAAGGAAGGACAAGTGGATGATGTGGGTAGGAGGGTCCAGGGGACAGGCTTTGAATGGACACCCAAAAATGGGTACTCATCCTCATCACCACCCAATGGCACTGGATGTTGCCTGTATCTTGGACATACTTTCCAGTTATCTGGTGATGGTAGACCCTGCCAGAAAGGATTATATGGATGTGAGTGAGCCTGGAACCAGGATCCTGAGACTTGAGATTTTAAATCTAGGACTACACCGTTAGAGCTCAGCACTTGGCAAACCTCCTCCCATGAGAGCCTCACGGCTGCCTCTGTGAGTTGAGGCATCAGGTTTCTCTTTCCTATGAATGTTGAAGACTCCACACCGGCCACCAGTCCCTGTTCCCTGAGTGGTGAAGCTGCAGAGCTGTCTGCTTGCAAAGCTCAGTGAGGTTTGTCCTGAGCTGGACTCAGACTCTCCCTCAGGTGGTGCCAATGGAAGGAGAGTAAATTTTTGGGCCTGGGTGAAAGATGTTGAAGGGACCTAGTGGGAAAGAGAGGGAACCGGCTGGTTTCTGGGGCTTTCCTCTTAAGGGCTTCTTCCTCTCTCTAGTGCCACGCAGCCCCAACCAGTTTTCAGAGTTGGATCCAGACAGCCCCTCCTCCAGGAACTGGTTTTTTATTTCAGTCCCCTGCTCACACCCTCTATTGTGATGGGTCTCCTTCTGTGTGGACCAGAGTTTTTCAATAAATTGAAGATGCAGAGGATGGAATCTAAATCTGAGATTGCAGAGAATGGAGCCTTTTATTGAAAAGGTTAAGTGGGCACAGTGGCTCATGCCGATAATCCCAGCACATTAGAAGGCCGAGGTGGGTCAATCAGTTGAGGTCAGGAGTTTGAGACCAGCCTGGCTAACACGGTGAAACCCGTCTCTACCAAAATATAAAAAATTAGTCGGGTGCGGTAGCACACGCCTGTTAATACCAGCTACTCAGGAGGCTGAGGCAGGAGAATCCCTTAAACCTGGGAGGTGGAGGTTGCAGTGAGCGGAGATAGCGCCATTGCACTCCAGCCTGGGTGACAGAGTGAGATTCTAATGTAAAAAAAGGTGGCTACACAGAGTATCCTCCCCAGGGGCATCTCTGACTTTTACCTCCCCACTCTCCCCTGATGTTGCCTCACCTTCCTTTTCTTTCTGGGTGTTATTTGCATTTCCCTGGAAGTCAGATCGGCAATGTTCATCAGAAAGGTCCCTTAGACTGTGACTCAGTCTCCTCCCACTCCCATAATACTGCATGCATTACTCCAGGGCCACCAGGGTCCGGGATGTGCATAAGCAGGACTTGGGCCTGCATCAGGTTCTGGGTTTTAAGGAAAGGGACAGTGAGAACTGAGGGACCTCCCGCCCCAACCCTCTGATGACAGACAGAAAAACTGAGAGCTTGCATTAAAAAAGTGCTCAGCCATACACGAGCTGCCTGCCCTTGGAGAGGCCTGAGTTTACTTTCCTTCCTGAGGGAGAGTCTGAGTCCAGCTCAGGACAAACCTCACTGAGCTTTGCAAGCAGACAGCTCTGCAGCTTCACCACTCAGGGAACAGGGACTGGTGGCTGGTGTGGACTCTTCAACATTCACAGGGAAGAGAAACCTGATGCCGCAGCTCACAGAGGAAGCCTTGAGGCTCTCATGGGAGGAGGTTTGCCAAGTGCTGCGCTCTAACGGTGTAGTCCTAGAGCCTCTTCTCTCAAATCTCAGGATCCTGGTTCCAGCCCTGCCCATCCCAGGCTCACTCACATCCATATAATCCTTTTTGGTAGTGTCTACCATCACCAGGTAACTAGAAAATATGCCCAGGATGGAGGCAACACCCAGTGCCATTGGGTGGTGATGAGGATGAGTACCCATTTTTGGGTGTCCATTCAAAGCCTGTCTCCTGGACCCTCCTACCCAGATCTTCCACTTGAAAAAGCCAAAGACACTCAGCTGCCTCTCCCCAACTCTCTCCTCTTCTAGCTGGCCTCCAAAAACATGAAGCACCCCTGGTTAATTCGGCAGTGAGATTTTAACAAGTCACAATGTTACGTGGTCCCTGGCCCCACCATTTCCCAAATCCACTCAGCCCAGCTGTTCTAGGCCTTTACTCTGATTCTTTCTCTTATAGAGGCATTTCAGGGACTGTTGCCAAAGGAGTGAAGGGCTGGGGCGAAAAGGCCCCTTGCTCTTTAGATGTGTAGGCCTCCAGCTGGGAGGGAGGAGTTCCTGCCCATCACAGGGACACTGCATTTTTGCTGCTTTAGCGTCATCTGTGTTCTCTGTGGTTTTTTCTCCAGGGTCGCCAACTTGAATGTCTTCACCTGCCAGGGTCAAGGAGAAGGTCAGTGGGACTATGCTCCCTTTACACAGTTACATCCCAGTTGCTCCCCAGTTAACTGGTGTGAGTAAGCTGGTCCAAGGATCCCACCACCTCCAGTAAGCACTGATTCTAGATTCATTCCCTGCTCCAACACATGCTGCGTGTGCAGCCTTGGGCCTGCAGCCAGGCCTCCCTGAGACTGTGTTCTCAGCTTGAAGTGTGATGGGAGCCACACCTGCCTCACTGGGCCTCGTGAGGACTCAGTTATATGTGGCTGTTACCATTGTTCTCGCCATCATTTCTCGAAAAAAGCCAGGTGCAAGCACTCTCAAGTTTCTTTTTTCTGAGGCACATCATTGCCCTATGAGGTCCATCATCCCTACATTATTTTATATAGGAAAACAGAGGCCCCAAGAGGGCAGTAGACTTGCCCAGGGCCCTAAAGAGGCCGGCTCCTCCCCGCACCGGGAGGCCCTGTCCTGGCGGACTTTACCCCACAGCCCCGCACCACCCCTGACTAGGGTCCTATCTTAATTCCGTGTGCTTGCTCAGGTCCTCAGGCAGGCTCAGCTTTATTGAGTGTTTCGGGAGGGCTGGGTGAGTGGTGCCTCTAACCAATTTGCTAGGCCCTCACCTATCCGTCTCACTGAGCCACTCCATTTAATTGGAAGCAGACCCAAAATTGTTTCGCAGAGTGAAGGTGATGACTGTCTGCAGCCAGCTGGAGCTGCTGCCTCTCCTGAAGGACCTTCTCTCGCAGCTAAAGGGAGAGACAGGGTGTCGACGGGGCCTGCAGCAGGCATATAACTATGATTCAGGGAGTTACACACACACACACACACACACACACACACTGTAATCAGAAAGTGATATGCTCTTGCACGCAAGGTTAAATACAAATGTCCCTCAGGCAGGGACAGGCCTCCAGCACAGGGAGAAATCTCCGCCTGAAAATGCTGCAGCCCCAAACCTGTCACTCGGACCTCATTCAGCCCGTTGTCTGATTACATCGCCTGTCACTCAGGGCCGAGATGGGTGGGGCCTGGAGCCCCAGCCAATCAGTGGCGCTAGCGTAAAAAGTGTCCAATCAGGCGCGCAGCGGGGGCGGAAGGGGCGGCTTCTTCAACATGGCGGGGCCTTTGTGTCCTGGCTCCCGGGCTCGGAGCCCGCTTCGCGGCTCCGCTGTTCCGTGTCCTCGGCTCCGGGAGCCCTTCGGTGAGTCTGCTAAGCCTCTGTGATCCTGTGACCCGCAGGGACTGGGAGAGCCCTAGGGAGGACGACGGAACATCGGAGGCCGGGAAATGGTGAGTGTGCGGGGAGGGCGTCCCGAGAAGGGGGACGAGGCCGCTGCCGTCCGGCAGGAACCGGCTGCGGTGGGGTCTGGGCCTGCCGGCGGCCGGCGCCGCAGCCTGCACTCGGGTCCCCGCGAGCGCAGCTCAGCCCTCACTGTCTTCCGCTGCGGCTTAGGGGCCGAGCCGGCAGCCGGAACCCGAGCGTCTTGCTGTGTCCGGAGCGCGACTTTCTCCCCAGCCCCGAGCCGTTTCTGGGCCGCAACCCCGAGTCGCCTCCAGCTGGTGCGGGGCGGTGGGAGGGCCCCGAGAGGAGGATCCTCGTTGAGGGTCTGGAGTTCCTCCGTAGAAGAAGCAGTGGGCCGTGGGGTCCCTAGTCCCTCCTTTCTCCTTTGACAAATTATGGCTTTTTTTTTGACAGCGTTTCTGTTTCGGCTCACTGCAGCCTCCACCTCCCGGGCTCAGATGATCCTCCCAGCCGAGCCCCCCAGGGAGCATGCACCACCACGCCTGTTTGGTTTTGTTTGTTTTTTTGTAAAGATGCGTTTTTGCCATGTTGCCCAGGTTGGTTTCGAACTCCTGAGCTCAGGTGATCCGCCCGCCTGGGACCTCCTAAAATACGGTTTACAGGCATGAGCCACCGCCGTAGCGTAAATTGAGGCATCTTTAGGATATAGTTTGGATGTGTTTTCCAGCCCAAATCTCCTGTTTCAATGTAATCCCCATGTTGGAGGTGGGGCCTAACGGAAGGTGATTGGATTACGGGTGCAGATTTCTCATGAATAGTTTATAATCATTCTTGGTATTGTCCTGTCAATAGTGAGTGAGTTCCCTCAAGTCCTTATCATTTAAAAGTGTATAGCACACCCTTGGCTTTTTTTTTTTCAAGCTTTTGTTTAACTTCACCATCCACCATCCTGGGTGAGGCCTCAGAAGCAGATGCTGGTGTTACGCTTTTTGCACAGCCTGTCAAACCATGAGCCAATTAATCCTTTCTTATAAATTACCCAGTTTGACGTATTTATAGTAATGCCGGAACCGATTAATGCAAACAATTTATTTGCACAAACAGCAATTTATGCATCAGAGAACACCCAGCAGTGGTTTGTTGTTTGGGGACTTAAAGGGGGGACTTGGAACAAAAGGCTTGTGTAAGAGGTATGAGGAAGCAAATCAGATTCAGTTTGATTGGTTACAGTTACTTACTGCATTTCCACCCATCCAGTGGAAATGTCCTGGTTATGTAATTAGAGCTTTATTGGCAGGTTGTGGTTGGTTAAGCCCAAGTTTTTTTTTTTCCTCAGAGTTAGTAATTTTCCAGAAACTACTTCGTGGTAGTTAGGTTTCCTTAGGCAGAATCTCAATGCACCACGGCCACTTCAGCCTAATTGCCAGTTCTTTAATTATTTTAATGCTCCACAGGGTTGTTGGTTTTCTCTGCATTTTTCAAATGTTTGGCAAGCAGGGTCTCAAATCATGACATGACTGTCCTCCCAGCCTAACTGTTATAGGGACTGTAGAAAATTCTAAATTTCTAATTTTTTTCCACATTCCCAAATGCCAGCTATCTCTTTCAAAATCACATTATCAACTGTTAGTCCTTTATTTAATTTTATTTATTTATTTATTTATTTATTTATTTATTTATTTATTTTTTTTGAGGTGGAGTTTCGCTCTTGTTACCCAGGCTGGAGTGCAATGGCGCGATCTCGGCTCACCGCAACCTCCGCCTCCTGGGTTCAGGCAATTCTCCTGCCTCAGCCTCCTGAGTAGCTGGGATTATAGGCACGCACCACCATGCCCAGCTAATTTTTGGTATTTTTAGTAGAGATGGGGTTTCACCATGTTGACCAGGTTGGTCTCGATCTCTCGACCTCGTGATCCACCCGCCTCGGCCTCCCAAAGTGCTGGGATTACAGGCTTGAGCCACCGCGCCCGGCCCCTTTATTTAATTTTAAAACAGATGTGACATTTTGTTTATTTTTGTTTAACAGGGTGATGGGTACCTCTTTTTAATATATTTGTCTGTGAACATTGACAGGAAAGCAAAGAGTAATCACCTGACACTCCGATGTAAAGTCTTTCTGCCTCTCCTTTCATCTTCTCTAGGCACACATGCCTTAACAGAATGTCTTTGAAACCTTTGCAGGATAATGTGTCCTCCGCCATTCTTCTGTATTTTCCTGGTTCCAAGGTATTAGAACTTTCTGGGGGATCATACAAGATACTCAAAAGGACCATGTCTCTTGGAGTGTCTAGCAGACATTAGCCCCTGGGTCATCTTTCAGAGAAGAGCCTGAGGTATTGGGTGGAGCCTCTCAGAGGAGCAGCTGGATGCCTTCATTCTGAGAGCAGTTTCCTAGTAATACCCTTCCTCTAAAAAGCTAACTACTTTAACAGGAACATTTTTTTTTTTTTTTTTTTTTTTGAGACAGAGTTTCGCTCTTGTTACCCAGGCTGGAGTGCAATGGTGCGATCTCGGCTCACCGCAACCTCCGCCTCCTGGGTTCAGGCAATTCTCCTGCCTCAGCCTCCTGAGTGGCTGGGATTACAGGCATGTGCCACCATGCCCAGCTAATTTTTTGTATTTTTAGTAGAGATGGGGTTTCACCATGTTGACCAGGATGGTCTCGATCACTCGACCTTGTGATACACCCGCCTCGGCCTCCCAAAGTGCTGGGATTACAGGCTTGAGCCACCGCGCCCGGCCGTGTTTTGGCTTCTTAGCTTACCATGTACCCACAAAGGCCAGACACAAGATTTTATACAATGTTTGGTAAAACAGGAGAACGAAAGCTGTCTGTGGGAGTAGACAAGTTTACAAATGTGTACTCCAAAAAGTTAAGAGTAAAAACAATAAAATTAGTTAATTATTATGTATATAATGGTTTTTGTCTAAGCTAGAGATATTCACTGAGAAATAAAATTTTGAAGTTTGGTCTAAAAAATCTTCAGGTTTTTTTCCAGTTTGATCTCAGCTGGAATGCTGTTTTGCTAATTCTGTGGATGCTAACATTTCAAATACATGGTAAGATGTACGTCTCTGAGAGACTGAAAAAGACTGGAAAAAGTTAATGTGTTGTAAATCCTGCAGCAAATCAAACAGGCAGTTTACACATCTAAAAGGTTTTTTTTTGAGGAAGTAAAAGAGCTCTCTTAAAAAATACTTTGAGGCCAGGCGTGGTGGCCCAAGCCTGTAATCCCAGCACTTTGGGAGGCCGAGGCAGGTGGATCACAGGGTCAAGAGATCGAGACCATCCTGGTCAATATGGTGAAACCCCGTCTCTACTAAAAATACAAAAAATTAGCTGGGCATGGTGGCACATGCCTGTAATCCGAGCTACTCAGGAGGCTGAGGCAGGAGAATTGCCTGAGCCCAGGAGGCGGAGGTTGCGGTGAGCCGAGATCGCGCCATTGCACTCCAGCCTGGGTAACAAGAGCGAAACTCCGTCTCAGAAAAAAAAAAAAAAAAAAGGAAAAAAAAAAAAAAAAAAAAAACCTTTGAATTCTCTTATTAGAATTTAGCCAGGCAAAACAAAGAAGGCCTTTCATTTAATTTCATTCTAAAACCTGACTTTTCCAATTGTGCATGGAAATTTAATTTAGAAATATCAAAAGACCTTCATTTTTGCCATTGCATATTGGAGGTCATCTGAAGTCATGTCGTTCCATTTACCCAGGCATTTGCAAGATGAAGCTTTGTAGATGTTATAAGTTCAGCTTATGTTTCTAAGGAATGTTAACCTAGAAGGAAAAGTATGGTTTTGATGATGAGTTTTCCATAATTAAGAAACTTTTCAAAGGTGATCAAGGCCAGAACAGTATACCAGGTCTAAGTGTGCTGCATATGAGCATTACTCTTTAAGGTGTTGCCCAAGAGTTAGTGATTATGGTGCTGGGTGAGCAATGCTTACCCAGCTTAGCTAAAAGTCTCTGCAGGTGTTTTCTTTTAGGAAGACCCTATGAGACTGGTACATATCATTGAAAATACTCCTAACACCTCTACAAAGTCTCTAGTTGCCTAGAGCACCCAAATGAGTGAGATAAAACAATTGCCTTTTCTCTTTGGAATGATAGAATTCACTCTTATGCATGTTTTAGTTTGAAGCTAACAGGAATTGGTCACAAATAAAAATTCAAGTTCAAATTAGAAGTAGTAGAAAACAGCTGTGTTTTTTAAAACATGTTATCTATTTTTTTTTTTTTTTTTTTGAGACGGAGTTTCGCCCTTGTTACCCAGGCTGGAGTGCAATGGCACGATCTCGGCTCACTGCAACCTCCACCTCCTGGGCTCAGGCAATTCTCCTGCCTCAGCCTCCTGAGTAGCTGGGATTACAGGCACGTGCCACCATGCCCAGCTAATTTTTTGCACTTTTTAGTAGAGACGGGGTTTCACCATGTTGACCAGGATGGTCTCGATCTCTCGACCTCGTGATCCACCCGCCTCGGCCTCCCAAAGTGCTGGGATTACAGGCTTGAGCCACCGCGCCCGGCTTTTTTTGTTTTTTTTTGAGATGGAGTTTCGCTCTTGTTACCCAGGCTGGAGTGCAATGGCGCGATCTCGGCTCACCGCAACCTCCGCCTCCTGGGTTGAAGCAATTCTCCTGCCTCAGCCTCCCGAGTAGCTGGGATTACAGGTGTGCGCTACCATGCCCAGCTAATTGTTGTATTTTTAGTAGAGATGGGGTTTCACCATGTTGACCAGGATGGTCTCGATCACTTGACCTCGTGATCCACCCGCCTCGGCCTCCCAAAGTGCTGGGATTACAGGCTTGAGCCACCGCGCCTGGCCTTTTTTCTTTATTTTTTAAAATTTTGTTTTATTATTTTGTTCCTTTTTTTTTTTTTTTTTTTTTTTGAGACGGAGTTTCGCTCTTGTTACCCCAGGCTGGAGTGCAATGGCGCGATCTCGGCTCACTGCAACCTCCGCCTCCTGGGTTCAGGCAATTCTCCTGCCTCAGCCTCCTGAGTAGCTGGGATTACAGGCACGCACCACCCTGCCCAGCTATTTTTTT